CGAGAAGTAAAGAAGGACAGGGAGTACGGAACGTAGACGTCACTCAAAAGAAGGACGCAAACGAATGGAAAGGAAAAGACAGGAGGTGGATCACGTGGAGACACAAGGACCAGAAGAAAATGCTGAAATATCATCAGGTAATGAGTCGGAGGAGGATGCACAGCATCCCCCCCTTTTAGGCACGACCCGTAACACAAAAATTTTGAAATGGCAAATAATTCAATTGATTTCACCCCGACACAAGAGGCTAGCATTCATGACACAGTGGGGGAACACGTGCCTTTTAAAATTCAGGAAAAGATTTGGGAGGGAAAGTTTATTGAGCTACATTTTCTTTTGAGAACGCAAAAAGAAATGGATGAGGTTGACGAGGGCAATTTGAAATTAAAAAGGGGGAAAATTTGCATTGAAAAAAGATCGTCGGGTGTTTATTTGTCCATAAATGAATGGACTTCAGCATTCATGGTTTTTATGAGTGTCTACATTGAGAAATACAGTACTCGGGCACAGGAATTGTTAAAATATATGCGTGATATAAGATTAGCGGCAACGAGGTCAGAAAACTGGGCCACCTATGACGAGCAATTTAGGCTAAAAATAGAAGAGAATCCAAATTTATCTTGGGGAAACATACACGTACAAAAGAACACATCAGCAATCACAGGTAACTAGTGGTAGTGCGAATATGTCATGTAAATACTATAATAATGGTAATGACTGTCCCTACTTCCCTCGTTGTAGGTGTAAACATGTATGTGAAATATGTAGTGGCAAACACAGAAAGGCCTAATGTAATAACCGGGCCCAAGGAAGAAGTAACAAAAAGTATTAATTTTTATTCATTAGGAAATACTCCTGTTTTAGTATCTGTCTTGGAAAATTATTTAGAATTTTACCCACATAACAATGTACCACATGAAATTATATCTGGTTTCAAATATGGTTTTTCATTAAAATATTTTGGCTCTAGGGAACCAAGGGAGAATTCCAATTTAATAAGAGCAATACAGCTACCCAACATTTTTAAAGAAAAATTAATGAAGGAAGTTAAACTTGGTCGCATTGCTGGTCCTTTGAGATACCCGCCTTTTTCCCACACTTCAGGTATCACAAATGGGGCTAGTGCCAAAAAAGGATGGGGATTTCAGACTTATTCAACATTTATCCTATCCTGAGAATAATTCAATAAATGATTTTTTTGATAAAGATCATTGTTCAGTGCAGTACAGTTCAGTGGACGAAGCAGCATGTTTGATTAATAGACACAAAACATTTGCCCGTTTAAGTAAGTGTGATGTAAAGGCGGCTTTTTGCTTATTGCCAATTGCCCCGCAGAATTTTGACTTGTTGGGGATAAAATTTCAGGGTGAATATTATCTTAATAAAATGTTGCAAATGGGGGCCTCAATAAGTTGTGCCCTTTGGGAGAAATTTGCAGAAGCTTTGCATCGGATAATACACCAAAAAAGTGGAAATGATAATATCCTCCATTATTTAGATGATTTTCTTTTTGTCGAGTCGAGCAAAACATCAAAAGTTGGCAATACTTTGAAGATATTCCAAGAGGTATGCGATAAAATAGGTATTCCTCTTGCTTGTGACAAGACTACTTTGCCTACTACATTACTGATTTTTTGGTATACCAGAGGGACGACACTTTGCACACGGCACGCAGAAACGGATTATATTATCGATCACCGGAAGTTTACGGTTCATTAACAAAATGGAAGTCGAGGTTGTCACATCAAAAAGCGTCTGGTTAAATTCATCAAATATATGGCTTTTCTGCATAGAAGAAGATAAATACAGTGTGCCAATGAGAGACTGTCCATCTGTTCAAGTAAATGTACGGGTTGCTCATATCAGTCCAGCAGATAAACCATTGATACGACGACGAGTGTTGATGGCGGATAGCAGTTGTCTGACGTCGTTGTACAACCAACCCCCATCACAGTTACTGCTCATCACTAACTCATGTGGTTTTAAGGTATTTTGTTACTATTTATATGTATATTTATAAGTCGTCTTGACCCTGATATACAAAATGTCTCTCAATGCCTAGGCTGGTATTATTTATTGAATGAATTGCTCAAGGCGAAGCTATTATAATTATACACACAAAACCAGCAGTCATTAAGTGTTTTATTATGATCACACAGAACAAATCATTTTCAAAAGACTACATACACCACTTTGAAAAAAAAACTTATAGTCACATAAACACGCACAGGATGAACTATTGTTTTTTTTGCCCGCGTCACTGTGGTACACAACATGGTATATATGTCATAATTACACCTTATGTAAGAATCCTTGGCTTTGATTGATTGATAGCCAGTGTATTTTTCACCAATTTACTGTTATCAAATGAATATCGTTCATTTTTTAACGCCGCCGGGGTATATGCAAAAAGGATATGCCTTTTTTACCTTCTCTGCCATGGTATTCGCCAAAAAATACTCTATCCGACTGGACGCTTGTAACGTCACGATCATCAATGCGTTTTTGAACGTTAACATTCGGTGTAATTAAACAGATATAGCATGTTCTTGAGGGGTATTTGCGAAAAATACCAGTCTTGAGAATTAATTTCCCTCGCCTTACGGCTCGGGAAATTTAACATTCTCTCGACTGGTATTTTTCGCAAATACCCTTCCTTAACATGATATATCTGTTCAAAATCTTATTTACTACTTTAATCAAGATCAGGAATTCTTGTGTTAAAATACCTGTGCATATAATTCACATGAGCTAAAATATATTAACATAAAATTGAGATTGGAATGCATTCACCAAAGCAATCCCAGATTATGAAGAAGACGACAGACCCTTACCATATACAGGGGCAGATCCAGCCATTTCAAAAAAGGAGGGTTCCCAACCCTCGATAAAGGGGGGTTCCAACTATAAGTCCCCATTTAAATGCATTGATCGTCCAAAAAAAGGGGGTTCCAACCCCCTGAACCCCCTCCCCCCCCCTCTGGATCCGTCACTGATATATTTGTTATGTTTTAGTTATTACATGTATCAAAATATGTCCTGTCGATTTTCTTTTTAATTATTTCAGGTGACTGTCAGTAATAAATAAGTTTGAAAGTACAATTACTGACACATATATATTTTATACCGTTTGCGATATTGCAGAGTTTAATGTTGCTAAGCACACAAATCAAAACAGAATAGTCAATGATGTTATTGCTGTCCAACAAAAAATTAGTATGAAAAGATGCAGGAAAACTGTTTATTAAAGTATTGATTGGGGTAAATGAAATGAAGTAGCACAAATATTTTATTATTTTTTATATAGAAAAAACATACCAAGATATGATAGGATATATTATTTATGTCAATAAGACAATATGAAGCAACTATTATATGACATTTTTATTTTGTTTCAGTTCAACAAAGATGCAGTTTCTGAAGTTTTCAGTGCTGGGACAAAATCATTGGCTGTGCTAATCTGGTCCTTTGTCATGATTCCTGGAGCTCAGCTGAGATCCCAACCAGACCATTGCAATGCAGTCGACCTGCCAGGAACGCCAGTATGTAGTTACCAAGATTTAAACTGTTCATGTGTAAGCGAAACACATATTTTAACAACAATTTCTACAGATCAACAAGATCAGATCAGATATGATACGTTGTTTAGATAAAGTATGTAAGAATAAATATGAAGCTGCTTTATTTTCAGCAGTTTTTTCAGTTGCCTTCTTTGGTTTGCTAAGGGTGGGGGAAATCACTTCTTCAAAAACTTAGTCTGTTATAAATGGCTTCAACTTAACTATTGCTGATATTTTAGTTAAGAAAAAAGTCCTGGAGCTAAGAGTAAGGTGGTCAAAAACTGACCAAAAGGGAAAATCCGTTACTTTATTGATACCTGGGAACAGAAAAAATCACTGTCCGATACGACTCATTAACGAATACTTAAAGGTACGACCTACCTGTAACAATAACGATTTGTTTATACATTATAATGGTATGCCTTTAACTAGATACCAATTCAGCAGTATACTGGAAAAGGCTTTACATTTTCTTTATATCAGTAAAGGTCTTTTTAGGTCACATAGTTTTAGAATTGGGGGAGCCACTGAACTGGCCAGGCAGGGGGTCTCAAAGGAGGTAATTATGAAATTATGCAGATGGAAATCGCATGCTTATTCTCGTTATATTAGGTTGCAATTTTTCTAGTTACAAAAGGCTAACAAGCTACAAGTTTTCACAGGTCCCAAGATTTTATGGATTGTTGGAAGTTCCCTTGTTCATTGGGCCAATGTAGAGGCAAAGAAATATGGTAGGACCAACCTTGGACTGGAGTCTAAAGGAGTCTCAGCATACTGGATTGGGCAACCTGGTTTACAGTTTAAAGATTTGGACTCCCTACTGGATGCAAAAAGAAAATTTTTACCTTCTCCTAATTTTATTATTATTCACTGTGGAGCTAATGATTTGACAGATTTAGAATTGACAGGGAAGGGTTTAATTGAAAATGTAAAATGTTCTATCCTACGTTACCAGGCTTTATTCAAAAAACTTATTATGATATGGTCTTCAATGCTACAGCGCAGATACTGGCATTTTGCACCCTTAAATGCGGGTCCAATAATCGAACAGAAGAGAAAAAGAGTGAATTTCAGTGGTCAAAAAATTTGTAATAGAAAATGGGGGAAAAGCTATTTTACATGAGAATATTAGGGCAAGTGAAGTGTCTTTAGACAGAACAGATGGAACTCATTTATCACAAACTGGAAATCAGGTTTTCTTAAATAATATACAAGGGTGGGTTGAGTCTTTTCTACGCCCAACAAAATCAACTTTTCCAATGCTTCAATAATGAAAATTTTGTGGAGGTGAGAACCCAAGTCAGATTTGGTAACTGACTTGGGCTCTCATGTGGCGGTCAACTGGTAGTGATTGGGGGATTATTTCACTCGGCCCTTGCTCTGGGCCTGACAAGTTCTACAATTTGCAGGTTTGGAAAATGTGGTTAGTAATAACGGTGGGGTCTACAGATGTGCAACTCTGGGACCTCCTCCACCTCATCTTATAGAGGGAAGGCCTACACCTGCCAACAGGTGGGGCACTAATAACTGGAGCATTGGTAATACGAGTGTGTTTCCCCGGTCACTCCCCATGGTAGGTGTTTTTATGACACTATGTCAACATAGGTCAGCTGATAGGCATTGTGTATAGGTAATCGGTAGTCACCCTGGCGCCTCAACAAAATCTTATAGAATACTCTGTAACCAAAGTAATGCCACAAAGTAAAAATGTATATTCTAGTCATGAAAATGTAAATACAAGTTGGTGTAATAAAATGTATGTTTAATTAGAATGATTGTTTTTTTATAAGTGGTAAAGGTTATAAATGAAAAATAGAGGATGGAAGCTCTACACAAATGAGTATAAAATACAGAAACTCTGTAGTATTTTAATCTTGGTATTTGTGAATTACAATAAACAACAGATAAGGAAAGACAACTCTATAACAATTTTTAATCACTTTGTGATTAAAGGAAGGACTTCAACATAGTTAAGAAAATACAACAACTCTTGATCGTTGTTCTTCATCTCATTGTTATTCGTTCAGTATTATTTTAGGGTCTTCTTCTATAAGTATTGCAATTAATAGAGATTATCAAAATTTTAATTTTCAATAATCTGGTTTAATTCAATCAAACATTTGTGTGGGTGTGTGGGTGTTGCAGCCTTTAGCTCATTGCCATGTATGGCATGGCCATATATGGCGCTCTCACGTGGAATTTGAATTTTGGAATTCCCGTATCGGGCACTTGTTAATTTGCTGTCGACAACAAAGCAGGTGCTGCAGAAAATAGTTCAATTATTTAAAACCCGCCCACCCTCCCAAATGAGAATAGTTGCTGCTGTTTTTTTTTATATTTTCAGGCACTAGTTTGCTGTATTTGGTTGCAATATTATGGTCAACGGAATCCAAGCAGTTCCTCCATGGTATTGGACCAATACAGGATAGTTTGGAGTAAATTTATGTTTCTTTGATTTAGACATTTCCTTTATTAAGCACTTTATTTACATATGGACTATTGTGATTTAAGCAACCAGAAAGAATTAAATTTTATATTAATTAACAATTTTATTAATTAGGAAGAAAACAAGACATTTTAAAGAAATTTATTTTCTCATACCATCCTTAGGCGCAGAGTCAATTTTGAAAGGGAGAGATATAGGGAAACTGGTAGTGATTGGGGGATTATTTCACTCGGCCCTTGCTCTGGGCCTGACAAGTTCTACAATTTGCAGGTTTGGAAAATGTGGTAAGTGGTAACGGTGGGGTCTACAGATGAGTAACTCTGGGACCTCCTCCACCTCATCTTATAGAGGGGAGCCCTACACCTGCCAACAGGTGGGGCACTAATAACTGGAGCATTGGTAGTACGAGTGTTTTCCCCGGTCACTCCCCATGGTAGGTGGTGGTGTAACCGTGTTTAACTACCAGGGGTTTTTATGACACTATGTCAACATAGGTCAGCTGATAGCCATTGTGTATAGGTAATCGGTAGTCACCCTGGCGCCTCAACGAAATATTATAGAATACTCTGTAGCAAAAGTAATGCCACAAAGTAAAAATGTATATATTCAAGTCATGAAAATGTAAATACAAGTTGGTGTAATAAAATGTATGTTTAATTAGAATGATTGTTTTTTTATAAGTGGTAAAGGTTATAAATGAAAAATAGAGGATGGAACCTCTACACAAATGAGTATAAAATACAGAAACTCTGTAGTATTTTAATCTTGGTATTTGTGAATTACAATAAACAACAGACAAAGAAAGACAACTCTATAACAATTTTTAATCACTTTGTGATTAAAGGAAGGACTTCAACATAGTTAAGAAAATACAACAACTCTTGATCGTTGTTCTTCATCTCATTGTTATTCGTTCAGTATTATTTTAGGGTCTTCTTCTATGAGTATTGCAATTAATGATATCAAATTTTGTTATTATTCTTTTCATCGAGCATACTTGTTTCTCTCTTTAATTCCCCATGGCGACATGGTAAGGTTTAGTATTCGCAAATATAGCCATAACCTTTACCTTATTAACATTGTATTGCGTATAAATATCTCAATTAATACGTTACTGTCGTCCATGTTCAAACTGAAAGAACTTTTTTTTTGGCTCCTGACATAAAACGTGCGTTAACAGAATTATCAGGAATTTTGTGGAAATGAACCGATTGTGTTCTATATTAAATTATTACATTGTCACTGGACTCGCATTTGGGGCGGGGCATGCACAGTAACAACGATCAGTCTGTCAACTCAATGCACCTGTCCCTCTCCTTTTAGAGTTTATGCGATACCCTCAGTTTTCAAGTTTTACCTTGATTTGCTTCTTCGTAATGGATATAAGATATAAGCATCGTAAATTATTGTTGCCTCTGATTTACAATTCACACGTATACAGTCATGTTATTTGGAATGGAGAAATCTTTGTTGCTTGTATATTTTTTGTTTATCAGAATCTTTCAAAGAATTTCAATTTAATCTTTCATTTTGTATTGATATATATTCTAGAAGGTAACCCATACAAGTGTGGGTATGGAGGACTTTTTACAAATATATCTATGGATACAATTCAGTCATTCTAGTTTTGTTTCTTAATTTCAATTGAAATGAAGTATCTAAATAAATATAAATTCATAAACAGCTAGTATATATAGTACTCTCATTATAAAAATAAGACACTTTTTTTTTATCAAAGCCTCACTTTTAGTTTGAAACATGTGTTTTTCTACAAATTGACAAATCGTTCCTTTTTCATTAGACTTTCTATGTTAATACTATATACGCAACTCGTATTAAGCAGAAATAGTAATTTCAGTTCCTGAGTAAAGTGGTCATGTTAACCGGGTATATACATTTGGTATTGTGGTCTTTAATTGCTTTTTTTAAAATGTTTACCAAAATCATATCATTCATTTATTTCCAACTCCAAGGAGGTCTGTCTAAAATAAAGTGAAAAAATAGGGAGGACTATAAATATATCAACTGATGTAACAAAAGAAAATCAAGTGTCGGATTCCAGTCATTAATACTGACATTTTCTTATGCGGGTTAACTCTTACAAAGAAATGGTGTTAAGTTAATCTTAGCTGTTTTTTGTCAGCTTAGGTTAAACATAACAACATCTGAAAAATAATTTTCGTATCCAAGAATACAATATAACGTAAACATGTGTCAAAGTGAAATCATGATCCGAACAAAATTTTATTAACCACAAAAGGGTCAATATATATTCAGAAGTCAGTATCCAGGATTATTAAGATTAGATAATATTCTTTCGTTGTCTATTCGGACGAGACATTTGATTGATGCATACTGCATTCATACCACAGACGCCCACGCATCAATATAAGATAACAGGTAGTTTAAATACAAACTAAAGTTAGCGTAGGTTAGTTGCTTGGGTAAGCACTTGTTGGTTCATCATCATTCTTATCATAAAGAAATTGCTTTCTTCAATAACAATCGATCGCCGATTTTAAAATGGTGTATGAATTTTTACAACAAATAGTTTCCATATCTTTAAATGCCCTTTAACTTCTTTTTTTTCTTTATGTGGGATGACGGTGGTGGAGTTTTGATTTATTCAAGGTTTATATTTAAAACAGATTAATTTCAGATATATATCTAATCTGAAAGATTTATTAACTGTTATCTCATATATGCTAGTTGTCCAGGTGTGTGAGTTTAGAATCTTTAATATCTGATGTATTATTGAAAATAGCGTACGATTATTGTAAAGAGAAGAATATGCGTATGGATTAAATGGACAGATACCTTCCTAGTTGAAAGTTAGACATGTCTTTCTAAAAACACTGTGTAACAGTTTCTTTTAAAACAATAGCATAGCGACTATTGTTAGTAATTGCATCTTACAGGCCGACTCAATGCATACTACGTTCACTTGTGTTAATATGTCTTTTGATTGTGTTAAGACATTTCAATTGATATTTTATAGTGTGTCTTTCTATGTTGTGATTTTACACTATTGATTTTTGGGTAAGGGTGAAGGTTGGTACCTATTAAAACGTTTAAACTCGCTGCATTTGCTTGCACCCTGTCCTAAGTGAGGAACCTGATGTTCAGTAGTTGTTGTTTGTTGATGTAGTTCATAAGTGTTTCTCGTTTCTCGTTTTTTATATAGATTAGACAATTGGTTTTCCCGTTTGAATGGTTTTACACTAGTCATTTTGGGGACCTTTATAGTTTACAATGCTCCGTGTTGAAGACCGTACTTTGACCTATAATGGTTTTTCGTTTACAAATTGTGACTTGGATGGAGAGTTGTCTCATTGGCACTCATACCACATCTTATTATATCTACTTCCTGTAAATGTTTTTAAACTATGACTTTCCTGTCTGAATTGATTCAACTCGTCATTTTGGACCGTATTTTGATCAATAATTATTATCTTTTTTTTTACATTGTGACTTGGATAGAGAGTTGTCTCATACCACATCTTGTTATTTATATATATATACTTTCAATTATGGACCATTAATGTACCGTGTAGAGAAACGCTTCAACATTGACATATTATACATTTTTATTATAAGTTACATAAGCGGGCAATAAGAATAATTTTGAATGAGGGTTTTGATATTTCATCATCAGTTATGTATAACGAGTAAGGATGTCTTAACATTTAAAATGAAATTTAATATTTTATTGCAATGATTATTTATAAGTATGAATAAACTAGCACCAGAATGTTAATCTGACCTCTATTTTTAAGTTGTTCAATTGTTGATAACTATGCATTATGATCATATTCCCTAAGGATATATATTTGTTTGACAAGAATAAAACCAGTGTAGTGAAAGAATACCGTTATGCATTCTGGAACCTTTTGTTGAATTCCCTGCCTTTGACTTTGACAAATAGAAAAAACATAAAAGAACTGTTGATTGAAATTAATTAATTACATTTTTTGACGGGTACCGTTTAGTGTCTAAATAAACATTGAGCTCATGGGTCGCCCAGATATATTCAATACTACTTTGCAAGTGAATAGATAAACACAAAATACACTTTCTGCATGTTTGAATGATTTTTGGGTAGCCCCGGGGACACAACGACTACCAGTAGTATCATCGAGTCGGTCGTTGTATAATAGTCTATGTCAGAAAGCACTGTGCTTTGTAATGGAATGCCAAATATCATTGTTTATATTATTATGGTGACTGAAGTTTACCGATTTTTAAATTTTTAAAACGATTAAGAGGAGACGAATCAAGGCAACAGAAAAAAATGAATGAAAATAAGTCGTCTTCAAATGATGTGTTAGATATAAGAAAGAAGATGTGTTTTTCCAATGAAACAACTCTTCATCCAAGTCACAATTCGTAAAAGTAAACCATTATAGGCCAAAGTGCGGTCTTCATGTTGCATTGAATTACACAAAAAAGCAAGTTTTACTATACAACAGACCCATTTCTAGCTATAGGCAACGGATATATATTGTTAATATTTTCAACTACAGTTATCTATTCTTTAACATATTATATTTTTCTGCAACCAAAATTTCAATGAGAAATTGCAATTTGACATTTAATGAATATCATACATATTCAGAAAAAATAGCTAGAGGCTCCAAGGTGCCTGTGTCGCTCACCTGATATTTTGGTTTATAATTGATGCATGAAATAATGCAACCATTATACTTTTGCTTTAGTTTCAGAGATATAGGCCAAAAACTGCATTTTACCCCTATATTCTATTTTTAGCAACGTCGGCCATGATGGTTGGCAGGCGGGGTCATCGGACACTTTTTTCAAACTAAATATCCTAACGATAATTGTGGCCAAGTGTGTGGTTAAATTTGTCTCAGTAGTTTCAGAGGAGAAGATTTTTGTAAAAGATCACAACAATTTATTAAAAATTTACTTTAAAGGGCAATAACTCCTTAATTGGGTCAATTGGCAATTTTGGTAATGTTTGTAGATCTTACTTGGCTGAACATTATTGCTGTTTAGAGTTTATCTCTATCTATAATAATAATCAAGATAATAACCAAAAACTGTAAAACTTCCCTAAAATTTCCAATTCAGGGGCAGCAACCTAATAATGGGTTGTCTGATTCGTCAGGGCAGATAGATCCTAACCTGATGAAAATGTTTACTCCATGTCAGATTTACTCTGAATGCTTTAGTTTCAGAGATATAAGCCAAAAACTGTATTTTATTCCTATGTTCTATTTTTAGCCATGGTGACCATGTTGGTTGGCAGGGGGATCGTCGCACTCTTTTTTACACTAGATACCCCAATAATGATTGTGGCCCAGTTTGGTTAAATTTGGCCCCGTAGTTTCAGAAAAGATGTAAAAGTTAACGGACGACGACGACTGACGACGGACGCCAAGTGATGAGGAAAGCTTACTTGGCCTTTTCAACTCTGGCAACTATTATTTTCTTCAATGTTCGATTTCGTTTATAAGGTTTAGCCACTGAAACATTATTTTGACATGAAAATTAAGAAAGTCATACACACAGTTTCAGAAAAGATGTAAAAGTTAATGGACGACGACGACTGACGACGGACGCCAAGTGATGAGAAAAGCTTACTTGGCCTTTTCAACTCTGGCAACTATTATTTTCTTTAATGTTCGATTTCGATTATAAGGTTTAGCCACTGAAACATTATTTTGACATGAAAATTAAGAAAGTCATACACACAACTTGTCAGAAATATAAATATAAGAAAATGTGCTACAGTATGAGCTAATCAATGTCATGTATTCCTTTCTTTATCAGGAACGCCATTTTCATGTTCACTATCCAAAAGCAGTAATAGTAGGAGACAATGGGAAAATAATTGTAGGAAAAAACAAAAGAAAGAAAAGTAACGGAAGCCTATCTTCAGAAATTAAACAGCAACACTTGGTAAGTTAACTTCAGTTCTCTATCAATTCAATTGATAACATAAAACATTTACTCTTATTAGTCGGCAAATGAATAACATCATGGTCGAGTTTTCCAAGTAGTCCATCTTAAAAGAATGTAGGTAAACTATTTTCACAGATTATACATGAACATTTGTCTGCTCATACAGTATCTGAATAATAAAAAGCGCTTCGGTCGCACGAAATTTATCAAATTGGGTTTTGAGTGACTTTTTAATTATTATGAGTTTATACGAAATTTCTGTGCCACATATTTATATGCACAACAATTGTAAAATGGTATTTCCTTTTCTGGCATATATTTATTTTATAGAATACAACTGATGTATCGTCGTCATCATCATCTTACCAATCAGAAAATGAATACAATGAAAAATCATATAAAAGGGTAGCAAGGCCCATGGATATTGAATCGTCTACCTCCGATTCAGAAAAGATTTCCGACGACTCAGAGGAGGAAAGATCTAGGTCTAATGCTATGGTAAAGTCGAAACAATGTAAAACTGAAGCAGAAATTAAGAAAGTTATTTTCGAATATAAAGAAGATTTGATGAAACGAGCGGAAGCCAAGACAAAATCATTAGAAAAACATTTGCTTGGTAAATTGAACAAAGCGGGTATCTCTGATCAGAGCAAATTGAAAAAGTTACAACGTTTAGATACTTTAACCAAAAATGAAAAGAGCTCAAATATGTACATAGTCACATGATCTATAAAGTCTTAATTTTTACAGTTTAATACGGCTGCAAATGATCGTTCAGAAATTAGAATACCAATATTTTGACCTAAGAACTGCTGTGAATAAAAATATGAGCGAACATAAATAAAATATTTTCAACAAATGAAAAATAAGCGTAAACTGAAATGTTAATTTGTTCACATTTTGTGTTGGTTGTATACATGTTGGCTTATACTTGGTATTAACCATCCTTACCATTGCAGCCCCTGTTTCATGACATTTCCTTATGATACATAATTCTTAAGTAAATTCATTTTAACATCTGCATTTTTGGTATGATTATATAATTATTTTCTTCTTTCACCTTCACATTTCATAAACTTCCTATTTTCATATTAACATATACTCTTTGCAGTCGTATTTTATACACGTGCGTTGCCGTCGTTTGCATCGTGTCAACTTTTTTGTTTGTCTATCTGTAAATACAGTTTGATATGTTTCCCTTGGTATTTCATAGGAAAATTGTTCCTGGATGTTATATATTTAGCATTGCTAAAGCTTGTACGCAAATGTCAAACGGGAGTTATTTCTCAAAACATGATATTGGTACTCGTTTTCAATAATAAGAAAAGTTTTCAAACTTAAGGTAGATAGGGTGTCTTCCTCCATCTTGGATTTGTAATACCTGAAAACAATCGGTCTAGATCTGTAATAGAATGTGCAAATTTTGAGAGTAGTAGGTAATTCATATGTAAGAATTTTCATTTCAATATAGAAAATGACATGTTTTATCATATTTATGGTTGTATTTTACAAAAAACAGAAAACTTTTGTTTGATTCAATTTTTTCCAACTTTGCCACATAAGGGGAGGCAACTCAAATGTAAGGGCAGATAATTCAGATAAAGGTACTTTTACAATAGAATGTGTTAGGAATTTACCTATTTTATTATGTAGCAAGAAAACGAGTCCGGTGACCCCATTTTTTCTTTTTCTTATCTGAAAGCATTATATTAAAGCTATCTTCTCATATTTTATCTGAAAATTCTATGGTGCAGTTTTCGTTTTATGGCAGAAAATTGGGTTTTCCATGCATAATCTATACAAAATCTGTTGATTTTGAACAACCTGTAGCGTGAAAATAAGCCCCGTGACCCATTCTTTTTATCATTTTTTTTTAAAAAGCTTGATATAAACTACATTTTGGCAAATTATTAAAAAAATCTATGGATTATAATTTAGACACCCCATCTACCTTAACCTGAATTTTCTCAGTCAAATTTGTTGTAGTTCTAACGTTTTAAAGATTGTTAAGGGACAATCTGACTGATACTGGCGTTTTTAAATTCTACATAGAATTGTCATTGTTTTTTTATTTGTTGATAGGAATTGTTAATCAAACATGTAATGTGACAAAATGTTGTACATAACTTACGGTTTTATACAAATTTCATACTACTCTTAGCTGAACAGGATGCATGTGTTTGTTTCTCTCGCCATGGCGAGTACATCTCACAACCATATCACGTATCCTCATTTGTTTGTGTTTAAAAATTTTCTATTTTGAATAGATAGTTAGAATCATATTATTTTAAAAATCAGTTTACAAAATGGATGAAACAGTATTACACGTATTACTTTAAGGATAGCATTGTTACAGTAACGTTTTCTATAATGATTGTTTTGGGTTTTTTTTTTACTTTTTGATATTTTTTGATATTTTATATTTTTCAAGTAAATGTTCTTTATTATTTATCATCATTAATAACGTTATATATTTGTCATTTGAGAGCATATTATACATGCAATGTCTTTTTGAAATGGGAAGTGTGTAATCCTAAACCCGCTCTCTGCATGTAAAGACATATTGATACACTTTGTAGTGATCTCTTTATTTCATTCATTCGATTTTTTTCTATTTCCATTCCCTTTTATTTAGACCTTATATTTGACCCACAGTCAAGACGTTATGTATATGGAGGTTCGTTTGAAGGCAACAATAGCTTATATTCATAACTTGGTACAGGCCTTTTCAAAAATATTATGGATAATAAAGATACCATTATAAAAACATTCGCCCACTATTAAAAAACGTTTTGTTTCCAAATGTAACTGTCAACATGTACAATAACATATTTTCACCTAAATTTTCTGACATAATTTCTGTCAAAATGATAGAATTGCTAGTGTATGTTACCTAAGTGTATGTCTACAGTTTCCTTTTTCATCATTGCTATTAAATATTTCAAATAATTGTCTTTAATGTCAACAATGACTGTACGTATCTGTGCCACCTGTAGTAGCGAGGATAATATATTATTGGCACAAACGGTAAAACTACTGGAAACACGATTTCACATATTTAGAAGTTTTTAGTTCCAAGAACATGTCTATCATTTATCTGAAATATTTAGAAAACGGCTTTAATGACTCAGGGGGCATTTATCATATATCAGTACATAACTATAAAAACTAGAGGCTCTAAAGAGCCTGTGTCGCTCACCTTGGTCTATGTGCATATTAAACAAAGGACACAGATGGATTCATGACAAAATTGTGTTTTGGTGATGGTGATGTGTTTGTAGATCTTACTTTACTGAACATTCTTGCTCCTTACTATTATCTCTATCTATAATGAACTTGGCCCGGTAGTTACAGTGGAAAATACTTTGTAAAAATTTACAAAAATTTACAAAATTTATGAAAATTGTAAAAAATTGACTATAAAGGGCAATAACTCCTTAAGGGGTCAATTGACAATTTTGGTCATGTTGCCTTATTTGTAGATCTAACTTTGCTGTACATTATTGCTGTTAACAGTTTATCTCTATCTATAACAATATTCAAGATAATAACCAAAAGCTGCAAAATTTTCTTAAAATTACCAATTCAGGGGCAGCAACCCAACAACGGGTTGCCTGATTGGTCTGAAAATTCCAGGGCAGATAGATCTTGACCTAATGAACAATTTTATCCTCATCAGATTTGCTCTAAATGCTTTGGTTTCAGAGATATGAGCCAAAAACTGCATTTTACCCTATGTACTATTTTTTAGCCATGTCGGCCATCTTGGTTCGCGGGCGGGGTCATCGGACACATTTTTTAAACTAGATACCTTAATGATAATTGTGGACAAGTTTGGTTAAATTTGTCTTAGTAGTTTCAGAGGAGAAGATTTTTGTAAAAAATTACAAAAAATTACGAAAAATGGTTAAAAATTGACTATAAAGGGCAATAACTCCTTAAGGGGTCAACTGACCATTTTGGTCAAGTTGACTTATTTGTAGATCTTACTTTGCTGAACATTATTGCTGTGTACAGTTTATCTCTATCTATAATAATATTCAAGATAATAACCAAAAACTGCAAAATTTCCTTAAAATTACCAATTCAGGGGCAGCAACCCAACAACGGGTTGCCTGATTGGTCTGAAAACTTCAGGGCAGATAGATCTTGACCTAATGAACAATTTCATCCTATCAGATTTGCTCTTTATGCTTTGGTTTTAGAGATATGAGTCAAAAACTGCATTTTACCCTATGTACTATTTTTTAGCCATGTCGGCCATCTTGGTTCGAGGGCGGGGTCATCGGACACATTTTTTAAACTAGATACCCTAATGATGATTGTGGACAAGTTTGGTTAAATTTGTCTTAGTAGTTTCAGAGGAGAAGATTTTTGTAAAAGATTACAAAAATTTACGAAAAATGGTTAAAAATTGACTATAAAGGGCAATAACTCCTTAAGGGGTCAAATGACCATTTTGGTCAAGGTGACTTATTTGTAGATCTGACTTTGCTGAACATTATTGCTGTGTACAGTTTATCTCTATCTATAATAATGTTCAAGATAATAACCAAAAACGGCAAAATTTCCTTAAAATTACCAATTCAGGGGCAGCAACCCAACAACGGGTTGTCCGATTCATCTGAAAATTTCAGGGCAGATAGATCTTGACCTGATAAACAATTTTACCCTAGTCAGATTTGCTCTAAATGTATTGGTTTCAGAGATATAAGCCAAAATCTACATTTTACCCCTATGTTCTATTTTTAGCCATGGCGGCCATCTTGGTTGGTTGGCCGGGTCACCGGACACATTTTTTAAACAAGATACCCTAATGATGATTGTGGCCAAGTTTGGTCAAATTTGGCCCAGTAGTTTTAGAGGAGAAGATTTTTGTAAAAGTTTACGGACGACGGACGACGGACGACGGACGACGGACGCCAAGTGATGAGAAAAGCTTACTTGACCTTTCAGGTCAGGTGAGCTAAAAATCAATTCATGAGAGATGATTTGCCAAAAACATATTGTGTTCAAATAAGGTAGAACTTTTTATACCGATATTATAAAATATATAGAGGGTACTGCTATGTGTCTCAAAGTGTCTCGAAGCACCGATATGTATAGTGTTGATTAGAACTCTCTCAATAGTTTAATTTGTTACCACCTAATATGTGTTCAGAGAATTTACAAATATATCTGTTTTTTTAAACAATTATTTGTCATTATTTACAATGAAAGATAACGTTATTAATTATTTTGTTGAATAAAATTACTTTTAAAAATGAATTTGTTTAAATATATGATTTTAAAACAATATTAACCAGAACTAATATTGTTAATCAAAAACTTTGTTCATAGATTAATGAGATGTTTATGAACAGGAAAATGATAACGAGTTGCTTTAATCTTTTCACCTTTCTAATGCACATCGTGCTTGATGTTCCAACATTTCAAAATATTTTCTTTTATTTATATGTTGGCAATTAAGAGATATTGGTTATATACAACAGTCCAATGATTATCAACATTGCACACCACCAACATAAGAACACGATTCGGAAGCAGTTGTGTTATTAACCAACACGCTGAATAAAAAACCGTAAAAAAATAAATAACAAAGCATATTGATGTCTGTTAATTGCCTAAATATGCATCTTAAGTATTACACAAATGTATATGAAAATTAGAAGCCGTGGTACAATTGCCAGTGAGAGGACTATCCATTAGAAACCAAACGGCGTAGGAATAGGCGACTTGAGGTTACCGCCCAGTCTTCGACAATACAAAAAAACAACCTATAACGTATGGTAAGCTATAAAAAGTCCCAACATGACAAAATGTAAAACAAATCAAACGCGAAAACAAACAAAATGGAAAACAGATACAAGACAGTTATTACCACGGCAATGAAAACTCTTAGTGGCAAACAATTATCGACGTATGTAATATATTGTAAAGTCACAAGAAAACGTTATATAGTTTCTCTCCTTTTATAACAAGCGATTAGAATAGCAGACTTTAGGTGTTTCGTGTAATTTAATATTTAATGTTGCTCTGTGATTAAATTCCCCACGTACCAAAGTTAACTTATATTTCTGCTGGCTGTTTATGTCATTTAAACACGATTATTCTCAAATCATATTTCTCAGCTAATGCAGGAAGATCCAGAGAAAAAAATAAATACGATCGATTGATATGTATCAAAGCCTGGATGGGCCCTTTGATTTAAAGTTACAAGGCTAGTTCTGACGGAATTATTCCGTTAAAAACATCTGAAGCAAAAGCATCGAGAAGACATTAAATATATGTATAAAGATTCGAAAACGACCTATTTGAAACT